TATTGTAAAATCATTTTTTTATGTGTTTCACACCGTGTGTAAAATCAGTTGTGTAACAACAACGTTCCCTCCTGTTTCTGCTTATAGTTGATCGTAATCGTCTGTAGCCGAACACATCCCTAATGGGAACATCTCAGTCAACAAATATCCCAAGACTTATTTGTCGTAATAGATTTGCTGCTTCTGATTAGAGATGCAGATGATTGCCGTCGACATAAGCTCTAGCTAGTTACGGCTTAAGCCGGGACTATTCGCCTGCACCTCTACTTCTGACTAGTGATGTGATAGAATAGTCTCAATGGTGTTGCGGTTAAGAATTTATTAGATATTACATAAAAATAAAATCAAGATAAAAATAAATTATATATTTAATCGCTTTTAATTTTTATCAAAATTATTACCCGTGTGATGCAATTTTATTACAATTGAAAAAAATTTGAATCACGAGCATTACATAATATTTTAAAAATTAATCTACGTTATTTATGATGGGTACTTTGGCGAACGGAATACGGTACATTTTTAAATGCGAAATTTGCTTATTGGCCAGTACAAACTTTCATTCTATGTTAGTTTTACAATAGTTGATGTTGAAAGTCCAAGGTTTATAATACGTACGTATTACCACTATGTAAACCTCATTGAGTAAATTTTTTTTTACATTTTAACTAAATCATATTTTTGTGACAACTTTTGTAAAGTTTAAACAGATTTCTTTTAACGGAAGTCTTCCACGAACATGAAACACAAATTGGTTTGAAGAATTTTTAGTGATATATAACAGAAATGGATCATAATTATGTCATAATGTATTAAAACATTTTTTTAACAGATTTAATCGAGCAATCATGATTTTTAAGACCATGTCTTAAAGCATTTGCCATCCCTGGTTACGGCAATGATTGGGACCATTCCACTGCATCACTACTTCTGACCCGTTATCCCCTCAAAATAAATTTGACAAATGGTAAAATCAGCATCTTGTGCGAGTCACCGATATGTGATTCGTAAGGTTTATGTCGTATGAGGTACTAGTACATCAATAAATACACAAAAATAACTTTTAAATGGTCTAAATGATAAGTATAGTTAATTTATCTTGACGATTACCTTTCTTGTATTAATAACTATAATTTGATACCCTATGTCACTTTTTAAAAACTTTGATCGAAGGTATCTCGACAACCGCCTGATCAAATTCGATAAATTCTTTTTTATTTGAATTCTATAGATTCATAGAATTTGAATAAAAGTTTATCGAATTGGTTAGGTAGTTTTCGAGATACCTTCAATAAAAGCTAGATAAAATTTTGTCATGGCTAATATTTTGATAGACGTCGAAAATTTTATAAAACTTTAATCGAAGGTATCTCAACAACCATCTGATCAAATTCGATGAATTTTTTTTATTTGAATATAGAATTCGAATAAAAAAAAAGTTCATCGAATTTGATGAATTCAATAAAAAAAAAAAATTATCGAATTTTATCAGGCGGTTTTCGAGATATTTTCGAAAAAAATTTTAACATCTTTTAAAATAATAGACAAGGCAAAATTTTATCTAACTTTGATTGAAGATATCTCGACAACTACCTGACCAATTTTATAACAATTTTTATTCGAATTCTATGTATTTGTAGAATTCAAATAAAAAAAAATTCATAGAGTTTGATCAGGTGGTTGTCGATAAAAAAAGTAATCTACATAGGGTATGAATGCCCGTAATAATAAAATAACAAAGTAACAATAAAGAAGCATTACACTAAAAAGGTTATAATAATGATTTAAAAGTCGAAGTGTATGAAAATCAACTAATGGTGAGTTGTGAACCATTAAGAATTTTGGTTTGATTGACCAAAACTTTCATAGGCCCGAAGCAATCAAACTTAATAAATGAAGAGAATTTACACACTGAAACTTTTGTGGGTATTAAAATTCCCGCTCTGAAATATACTATAGTAAAAAAAAAAAAATAGAGGTTTCAGGCCGTCCCAAAATCCCGGTGATACCGCTATGATATCAGATACAATGGAGAGTAAGCTACTGGTAAGACAAATTACTTTGACAAATATCCAAAAAAAGCAGCGCATTTACAGGATTAGAACTAAGTGGTGAATTTCATTAATTCAAAAAATACTATATACCGTTTATTTTTTTAGAACTTTAACCCTTTCTAGGGTCAAGCTTCACGTAAAAATAAATGATAATTCTAAACGTCCACATAAGTCGACTTTACTAGTTGGTGAGCATTTAGAGTTAAATCATTTGTTGAAGTCGAATTTTCACGTTTTTAAGATCCTATATGGATGAATAAGCATGCGCATCCATCATTATTATTATTGATAAACCTAAAAAATTTTATTAACGTTATAATAGATAATATATAACTGTATATATGCATGATCTGCTTTTAATATATGAAACTAAACGTAAACTTAAAATTATTAATAACGATAAACTTTATTCAATAAATAACGATAATATAAAATTTTTAAATTTTAGCGCCAACGTCAATAATTTTTGATTTAACACTATATAAATAAACAGCAATTAGGGTTTTATCTGCAAGTGTAACAATAATACATGTTTTAGCCTGGGAATGTATTTCATTGCCCACTATATATAGATACAGTAAATGATTTAATAATTTTTAGTTATTTTATTCGTCCTTTCTGTACGCAGCAAAAAGGTAATCATTTAGGTCGTTTTTTATCCCCTAAAAAAAAAAACCCAGACTATTTAAAATTAATATGCAACAGGCTATTATTACATACGTACGTAAAATACTTTTTCTTCTTAGGGAAATGAAGTTACCCTCGTGGATTTTAATCATGTTTTTAGGAATACTGTATAGGAAGATTCTGATAAATATGTATTTCAAATGCAATTTCTATGCTTCCAAACCATAGTTACGCAACAAAATGGTACATATATATAAGAATTCATTGAGTCGTATTTTTAAAAGTAAGTTTCATTTTGTAATTATAATTCACTTTAAATTTTTCGAGTGGTCATTATTTTTACGTCGGCCTTTTCCTAAAGAATTTAATCCGACAAAATTTTTATTTGTGCACCTCGTGAAATTTGTGTACTGTATCGGTATTGGCATCACCATTACCAAAGTTGAAACCGCCATCATTTGTGATTGGTTAAAAAAATGTATCAAACCTAAAAAAATGTTTCAAATAAATGGATTAACGTTAATTAATACATATCAATAATTTTTTTCTCGTTAGCTTCACTTTTGTTCACAAGAGATTTTTTTCTTTCAAAAATAGTTGCCTGTAACCAGGTAAAAAAAAAAAAATTTTCATCGTTTTTAGCAAAAATTATCCATTTTCTTAATTATCACTACTTTGTTTAGTAGAAATATGGAAACCTTTTCGATATCAATTATTTATGTATTATTTATATATTAATATTAATATTAATTATTATTATATATTATTGTTATTATTTTAATTGAATTTAGTCACCATATAGCCAAAAAAAAAAAAAAAATCATCTGTCATAATCCACTAAGTCTCCTTATTACAATCGAACGATGGGCAACAAAAATTCTCGCTCACGAAGCTCACGAACAATAGAAAGTCGTAAAAAATGTAAATACCCATATTTACATTGGAAACGTCGTCGTAACAACGAAATTTGGTGTAAATGTGATAACTATTATTTAACAAAAGGTTGGACTAGTGGTCATCGTGGAGTTGATAATTTTATTAAAGAAACTCAATTAAATGCTAAAGATCAATTGGATCCATATCTGGAATGGGTTCCTTATGACAGATTAGCTAATATTAAAAAAATTGGTGAAGGTGGTTTTAGCGTTGTTTATTCTGCTGATTGGTTTGACATGGATAAAAGAGTTTCATGGGGTTCCATGATTAAAGGTAGACCCGTTGCCTTAAAGAGTATCAATGACTCAAAAGAGATGTCGTCTGAGTTTATTAATGAGGTAAACTTTTGCTATATTATTTATGTTTCAATGTTAAGTTTAATTGCTGATTTGTTATCATAATGTTTATAGCTTAAAATACACCATCGCTGTATATCTGCGACTCCTCCTCTCGATGGCGGAATTAGATATGATCATGGGTTTCTTCGTTTTTTTGGTATCACTCAAAATCCTGAAACAAATGATTACATCATGATTACTGAATTAGCTCCATATAAAGATATTCGTAACTTATTACGTCAAAATTTTACTTATCTAAGTTGGAGTGATAAATTATATTGGCTTCGTAATATCGCCGGTAATCTTGTAACAATTCATAATGCTGGTTACACTCATCGTAATCTACATCCCGGTAATATCCTAATGGGTCAAATTAAAGATGGTTTAACGGTGGCAAAACTCGCTCACTTAGGGTTGTCACGTCCAGCTAAAGAATTACCACCAATGTCTTCTAAAGAATTTTATGGTGTATTACCTTACGTAGCTCCTGAAATAATATTGGGTCAAAAATATACAAAGGCCTCTGATATTTATAGTATTGGAATTATAATGGCTGAAATTTCTACTTCCATACCACCATTTGTTGATAAAGCTCATGATAATAAATTAGCATTGGATATATGTAATGGATTGAGGCCAACTTTCGCCGAAGGAACGCCAAAATCTTACATTGAATTTGCCGGTCAATGTACAAATTATAATCCTGCGGAACGTCCTACTTCTGAAAAATTATTAAATATGTTTAATCATTGGTGGAAAATTACTCAAGATCCAGAAATCTTGGATGACACTTTTAATGCGGCTGACAAGATAATACCGAGTATAGGCATCTCTTTCACTGCGCATCCTGATGCGTGGTATAAGAGTAGATTACTTAATTTTGAAGGTGTTTTCGTTGAGGGTTGATTTCTTTGAGATAAAACTATTGAAATATTAAAATCTCCTCACAAATCCACATATATTTATATTTATTTACAAACTTTGTTACGAATCTTTTTCCCGTATGCATATATGCATGCATGTAATTTAAGCACCGCTAATAACTTTTTTGACGTTAATATAAGCATTTATTTTTCTCTTTGATATAAATAAAAGTTAATTTTATTTAGGACACTCGAACTATATATTATAAACTTTATCGCATGTATACAATTTTTTGTTCACTCAAAGGACTTTTTACATATGAATAAAGATTCTGGTTCTGGTTGATGGTTAAAATAATTTTACTACTATTAGTGAAATCGGTGTTGAATTGGTAAAATTGGTGAAATTAATTTCTCCTGCATCTCTAGGTGTGAAATCATGTTACGTACGTACGTACGTATATGCGTACATACGTAACTAATAGTATTTGCTAAAACCATTTATGCATAAAGACGAAACACAAATCCTCGGATTAACTAATTTCCTTCCTTCAAAGTTCTCATTGAACGAACGCAACTTTCGTTCTACCTCAAAAATCCGACATTCAAATTCCGATAATACAAAATCCGACACCAAAAATCCCAACATTACCAAAATCCCAAAAATACTTCAGTTTCAGGACTTTGTCGTCGAGGTTTTGGGAATCAGGATTTTGGTATTGTCGTGATTTTAAATTGTTGGATTTTATACTATCGGGATTTTGATTTTGAGTGTCGGGATTTTGGACCTCGTCTTGTCTTTCATCAGATGAAATTGATTAAATCACTGATCACTAAAGAATTTCACAGATATGGTTATCGTTACGCGCTGCTTAGAATAAATTTCATTAATTTTAATTATTCTCCCTACACTCGGGTACCTAATTTAATTATGTTTTATATACCAGGGTTTTTAATAATAAATAATCCCTTATTCATATGGTGTCATACCCTGAGTACATATATTGGAGAAATACACAATCGATTAACTAATTTTTATCAATTTTATCAATTATTTTTATTGTGTAAAGTTGTTATTAATAAAATAAACACACGTAATTAAATATTTTATATTTTGATAAAGTTATACAGTATTTCTATTGATTCTATTTTATTATCTAGCCTATTTAATTATGACTTCTTATTTATAAAAAAAAGCATTAATTCTATTTTAGGTTTTACCGAATTTTATTTTAGTAAAAATTATAACTACCCCTATATAAGCACATTAATTTTTCGAACAAATTACTATTAAGCATATAAAAATCGCTCTCTACATAAGCACATTTTCTATATAAGAACCCTTTTTATCGGTCCCGACAGTGTGATTATATAGGAGCGCGACTGTAATTCTAATTCTAGTAACAAATATTTATATCTTTTAACCAAAAATTAATTAAAACTTTTATCAAATTTGGTTATTTTTTAAAATCTGTTGTTTTTTGGCTACCATATTTTCGCGTAATAACGCTCACCTGCGCGTTATTTTGAGTATATGCACGTCGCGCATGAGCGTTTTTTTGAGACAATTAAAAAAATCTTATGTAATTCTTGTATAAAAGTATACAAACAAAAATACTAGATTTAGTACTAAGTAAGCCAACCTTCGAGCTTTAATAAAAGTTGTTCTGAAAAACAACTTTTTTTGTCGAAGTACTAAATCCAGTTCCAAAATTTTTTAAATCTTACTATTAATAAACATCCTTACTATGGGGGGCGCTATTTTGGGACGCGCATGAGCGTTATACAGTTGACCCTCTCAAAACCGATCCTGTCAAAGCCGATAACCTGTCAAATCTGATAAAAAATTAATCTACCAAGTCCGTTCCCGTTATATAAATCTATTAGTTTACTATGTTTTCAAATCCGATAACCTCTTAAAACTGATACAAAACCTGTCCACCATGCATACCGATTCTGAGAGGGTCAACTGTATATGTATTATTTTTAGAGGGCACGATTTTCAAATAACGCCCATGAGCATCATTACGCGAAAATACGGTAGAATTAATTCTATCTTTTACTAAAACTAGTTTTTAAAAAATTAGTATTGTTTTTAAAATAAGATATAGAGCGGTCATCACTACGTAATCAGGTAGTTGGCCTGCGATGATTTTCTGTTTTGGTTAAGACTAAATTCTGTGTGTGATTAAGAATTTTACCGATTTCTGTGAAATTCTGTGATACCATTTTGTAATTTCTGCGGCTTTATGCGACAATTTTTTAAAATCCCGACAAGCGTGCTCGTAATTTGTGTTGATGTATCGTCTATCTTTCCGGGACTTCCCAGTGGTGCCAACCTGAATTTATGCGATATCTTAGAATTCTGTGATATTCTACGCTGCTTTTTTAGAATTCTGTGATATTCTGCGGTGACTAAGAGTGATTTCTGTGGTTAGCTGTTTTCAAGGAGAATTCTGCTGTTTTCTGTGATCTCAGTAAATCAGCCTGCATTAACCTAATTTAGGCCGATGATCTTCCAAAAATTAATAGCCTACTATAGCGCCTGTCGTTTTATTAGTAGAGGTTATTTTGGCGCCATGATTGATATTATTACAAAAGTGATGGGTATAAAAAATTTTTAAAAAATACGTATAAGTACTAGTTATAAATTATAAAAAAATACCAATAAATATAGGCGGACCCCAATTGTTATTTGTACCTCCTTGAAAATTGATTTTTTGTTTTAACTTTAAGCAAAGATATTTCGACAACCACCAAGTCAAATTCAATGAATATTTTTTTATTCGGATTCTATATGTTTATAGAATTCAAATAAAAAAAAGTTCATCGAATTTGATTTGGTGGTTTGTCGAGATGTCTTCATTCAAAGTAATTCAAATAAAAAACGTTTATCGAATTTGACTTGGTGGTTGTCAAGATATCTTTTAAGAAAACGTCCATCAAAATAAAGCTTTATTTTGATAGACATTGAGTTTTTTAAATCTTTGAGCGAAGATATCTCGGCAACCACCAAGTCAAATTCGATGAACTTTTTTTTATTTGAATTCTACATGTTTTTTAAAATCCAAATAAAAAAATGGTTATCAAATTTACTTAGTGGTTGTCGAGATATCTTCGCTCAAAGTTTGAAAAAAATTTACAGCTTTATTTTGATAGATGTTTTGAGTTTTCTTAAAACTTTGAGCGAAGATATCTCGACAACCACAAAGTCAAATTCAATGAACATTTTTTTATTTGAATCTATATGTTTGTAGTTTAAATAAGAAAAGGTTCATCGAATTTGACTTGGTGGTTGTTATGATATCTTTGCTCAAAGTTTTGAAAAAAACTCAAAACATCACTGACAGCTTAATTTACTGACAATTAATTCACTGACAAGTTCATTTCACTGACAATTATTTCACCGACAGCTCATTTCACTGGCAAAATAATTCTGGTCATTGTTGTTAGTGTTGGCTTAGAATTAGAAAATTTTAAACCTTTACTCAATTATTATCATGATAAACTATAATATACTACTTTACAGTATTTCTATACTTGACATTTACAAAATAAAATAAATAAATAATAATAATAATAATAATAATAAATAAAAAATTAAAAAATTAAAAATTAATTATAAATATATATATATTTAGCTTCAAACACTAAATATATCTGTTTCTTTAGTTTGCATACATGATAAAAGATTTAAAGTAGTAATATCAAACTTGATTTGAGCAGACTCATCATGTGACAAATCTAAACAAGCAAATAATATTATTTCTAAATAAATAATTTTATATACAAAATGTTCAAAGTTCGGTAATATCAAGCTTGATTTAAGCATAATCAACTTATGGCAAATCTAAATAAACAAATTATATTAGTTTTAAATAAATAATATAATTTAATTAATATATTAAAAATACCTTTAATCGCCTTTTAAATTAATTTCGTGCTAATAATTTTACTAGTGTACATTTCATCAGAATGCTTTGTATCGGCAATGATTTAATAGCATTATCAGCATCCAAGAATTGCTTTTTAATTTTATTTTCACCTGAAATATCTACACCTGAACTAGCTATCCAACTAAGCCAAGCATCTATAGTCCAATAAACATCAGAAGCACTAGGTCGTTTTTTTGGATCAGAATTCATGCATTTCTCAGCCAGTTCAATATCGAGTTTAGGAGTTTCAGGAGTAAACTCTGGACGCAATCTACTGAAAGTTTAGTATCAAATTTACGTCCATCAAAAAGAAAAGGCCTTTGACCAGTCGACATTTCAGACATAATAACACCAAGCCCATAAATATCTGCTGCTTGTGTAAGCTGATAAAATTTCAGGAGCAACATAGGGCATAACTCCATAAATTTCGTCAGTTGAAACATTCTTTCTAGACAATCCTAGATCTGTGATATAGGATCGTGTATTTTCATTAGTGCGTTGATCTTGCAAAATGTTACCACTATGAAAATCAGCATGAATGTATCCTGCATAATTATGAATCATCTTTAACTCATACACAGTATCTTTAAGTATTTGTAATTTAGTCTGCCATGTAAGCTTACTAAAATTATTTGTCAAATAATGCGAATGGGATGAATTTAAACGTAATGGTAAATAAGTATTTATGTTCATGATTTGAGAACTTGTTTTGCTGTTTTTAATTCCATTGATTAATAAATGTTCTTTATACTCACCAACTAAATAAATTAATGTGAATGAAATGAATTTAAACGTAATGGTAAATGAGTATTTATGATCATGTTTTGTGAACTAGTTTTGCTGTTTTAAATCCATTGCTTAATAAATGTTCTTTATACTTACGGCTAAAAAAAAAACAATAAATAAATATTTATGAACTTAAAAATTTCTGATATAAATTGATGAATGCACTTTTTTATACTTACACCCTAATAATTAAAAATTGTATAAAAGATCTCAATTTCAAATAAAGAATTACAAAATATTATTTTAAAAAAAATTGAAAATTAACTTACTTCCCAATCCATTCCTAAAATTTAACTCCATCCTTCTCCACGCAAATTTCATAATAGTAACAATTGGCAGTTTTCCGAATTCCATTAAAATTACCATCCTCAGCAGACTTCAGATAATTTGTAAACGTTTTATGCTTATCGATTTCTATCCAATTCCTAAACTATAACAATAACCAACTTGATACATTCCGTTAAAATTGATTTTTGATAATGTGTGAATGCTTTGTTTTCGTCCTTTTCAACTCCAATTCCATATTCGTAACATTATCCAAGCCAGCAGTACATTCCGTCTGGAGCATATTCGTAATAATATCTAAGCCAGTAGCGTATTCCGTCTGGATCGTCCATATCTGCCAAATTTTGACAATCGTTGAAATTCAGTTTATTAAAACCATCGATTAATTCGGTCAAATTTTCGTTTGACATTTTAATTATTAAAAAATAAAAAATAGATGAAGGCCAGCTACCTCTTCACGTCACCTTCATGTCATTAATTATTCAATATCCTAAATTACGCTGGTGCAGTTTTTAGATGGGTTAGTCATGATGAAAAAATGTCGCGGTCCCGTGATCGCTGACCAGTCAAAATAGAGTCGAATAATTACATAGCACATTATTTGACTATTTACGATCACGGGACCGCAACATTTTTTCGCCATGACTAACCCACCTGTAGTTTTTAGCCTACAAGCATAGTATATTATCGGAAACCATGGAGTTACACTAAAATAGGCGTAATTTGCCAAGATACGCACCAATAAATAAAAACATGCATGCATACATATTGTGTACGTATGTACGTATGTATACTAGGAAAATGCGTAGCATACGC